GACGTGGGCAAATGTAGCCAAGGACCCTGCGAAGTGTGTGTAGTCATTGTTAGGTGGGAATACTTTGAAAAATGCTGTGTAAAATTTCACCAAAAACATTATTAAAAAAAAAAAAAGGAGAGAGCAAAGTCCCCACAAAGAGCCCGTCTCCTCAGAGGGTCTCGGCGTGCGACCATGTCGGGAGTGCGCGGTGAGCGTCAGGGGAGGGGGAGGACCCCACAGGGCAATGGGGACATTAGGGTGCGGCCAGCTGATGTCATGGAGTGGCACAAGAAGAGACATTTGGGTCTACTGTATATGTATTTACAACAACTTTTTAAAAAGTGCAGCAAGCAGAACTAGCGGGGAAAGAAAGGCTTGAACTCACCATTTTAATCACAAGAAGATAGAAAACTTTTTTTTTAAGACCTAAAGCATTCATCTTTCAGGACAGAAACCCTATCCCTCTAGGAGTGGTTTGCCGGAGGTCTAACCAGCAGGGATGGATCACCTGAGCTTAAAAGGGCATTTGGGATGCATGCTCCCTTTTCCCCAGGAACATTTCAAGGTCAAAATCAGGGGCCAGGCTTATGTGTGGGAGGGCCGCATGGATATGAGGCAACTCTAGGGGAGGGGAAAGGAGAGTCGATGTGAGGGGCTTCGCTATTTATGCCTGGATGATTTAGGGGTACCAGTTCCTTCTGCACTTCTAGAATCTCTCTCTCCATTATTTTCCAGTTGCCACACAGAGCTGGCCACTTCCAGGGGGGTACGCACTAGGGGTCCCTGGGGCTGGCTCCAGCGAGCCGGGGGCCTGGCTAGCCCAGGAGAGGAAAGTGCAGGGAAGGACCTCCTCATATTAGATCCATCCCCAAACCATCTCCTGGTACCTCAGCAGCCACGATGCGTTAGCACCGTCCAGACCCAGCCCTGCCTCGGCCATCTAAGCGGGGCTCCCTGGGGGCCGTGGAAGGCACTCACATCATTAAACACTTTGTCCAGCTCCTTGGGGTCCATGATGAAGTTGGGGTAGCCTATCATGTTGTAGATCGCTTCCGCCTGCACAAGAGAAACAGAGCGCAGTGAGAGGCATGCCACACGGCCCAGGATGGCACAATACTCTAGGGGGGCCGGGCTTGGAGGCTCGGCCAACGGGCCAGGGGAGCCAGGCTCTCTCTGCCTCAGAGATTTCAAGCCTCCTTCTGGAATGAGTCTCCCTTCTGCTTACTTTGGGTCTCTGCCTAAGAGTCATTTCCTGAGCGAAGTCTGTTCTGACCACCAGCCCACCAAGTCACGCCCGAGCGCTCACTGCCCATGCCCCGTGCCAGAGCGTTAGGGTTAGCGCGATCATATCTGAGAGGCTGTCCTTCCACCCTGCTGCTCACGGAGCCCATGTCCAAGCTGTGCTTACCCCACACAACTAGCCCCTCCTCCCCCTTCCCCTAGCTGTGGCTGCTGCTTGGCCTGCCAGAGGCTTCCCGAGGTCCCTGCCAGCACCCGACGAGCGCTCACCTTCTCCCTGGCCGACTTCCGAGTGTCTTCATCCATCCATTTCAGCGTGCTCAGGCTTTCCTCGAAGGCCTTCTTGATCTCCATGATGATCTCGCTGGCCTGCGGAGACACGTGGCCCCAGTAAGGCCTGGG